TTATCACAGGGCTTCACAAAAAGTATTTCTTGTGGGTGGGTTCCTGTGTTGGTATTTCATTTTGTAAAGGTGTGACTGTCACACACTCCCAACAGCAGGAAAAAAAATGGACCTTGAAGTACAGAAACAGGGCTCTGACCTGTTAAAATGAGGTATTGTACTTGTGTCCCCTCATCACATGTGGACATGGCCTGAAGGAGCAATCTACGCACAAAGTGATTTTCCCTTCTCATTTAATTTGGAGTTGGGCAAACTGATGATATAGACTCAGACAGTATACAGTGCTCAAACTCCAGAGGTTTAGCCACACTGTTTATACCATGGTATCTACCCTTGGGTGTGTCAAGCCACTGTGGGCAGTGCCACAACCCAATGAGTAGTTTAATGGGAATATTTGATTTATATGAGTTTTTACACCAATATGATGAACTTTGATCTGTCTGACATATGTAATTAATAAGCCAGAATAACCATTTTATCATATTATGTTATCTATAAGCTGTTTCTTCATTCATGATACATTGTTATTGTGATATAAATTAACATATACCATAACTTATGATTTAATCTATATTGTTCACCGCAGTGAAACGTATTTTTAGAAGAATTGTTTATTCAGAATTTCACAAGAACAAATTATTAACAAGAGTGACTGTTTTTCTTTCTTATCCCTTTGTAGCAGGTTTTCCTCAGATTTGCTTTGGCCCCCTTTGTGGGGTCCTAACCCTCAATTTGAAGACAGAGACTGTATAATTTCCATCTAATTGTACTACACTGTACTATACACTCTTGACTCAAAGTAAAAATGCTTTTAAAATGGCAACAGTAGTATGTGAAGCATTTTTCTTTCAGTGTTACATAAGTCATGTCAAAGCTGGCAGTCTAAAGAGGTGTTATAAGTTCTAGGAGCCAAGTTTCACAAGGAACCAAAAGAAATATTTTATTACATGGCGCACAATTTAGGAGTCTGTGACAAGTCATCATCCCCCTGTGACTGAGTTTTATCATTTGTTTCCTACTGCATTTGAGCTTTGCCACTGATTAAACATGCTCTACCTGGTATATTAACTGGAGAATCTCCCTAATACGCCATCAGTTTCTTATCCTGCTAATCTATGTGATGTTGTGATACCTATTAAAATTAATGAAAATATAACACCTATGGTAATACAATTGAAAAGATCAAACGTTCACTGAAGTGATACGACAGAGCCTGTGTGTTGCAGTCAAACAAAAAACACTGGCAATGGGGCTTTGGATTCACCAACAGTGTACATTCGGTATATGTGAATGACTCCAGCACAGAGGGCCCCATATGGGAGATGCATGCAAGCCATTTTTGTTCAGAAGCGCTGATCCAGGGCAAGGCTTTTTTTTTTTTTGAGGGAATTCCACTTGCTTGGCTGCTTTGATACAACAAAGTGCCTGGTTGTATTTACATACATACAGTAGCAAAAAAGCCTGCACCAACAACAGAAAGGGAAGCAGACCTCCTGTTACGGAACTGAAACAAGCTGATGCAACCAGTTACCGTTGGAATCTCTATCTGAGCAAATGCTAGTCGTGTTTTTCACACTCCAAACAATTGTTTTAAGGGCTGCAACAAACCATAATTATGTGTTTTTGATAAATCTCCTGTTTTCTTGATTAATCATTTGTTCGTTCTACAGAGTGTCAGAGAAAACAACAACAAAAGGCCATCACATGATCCCAGAGCTCAAGGTGATGTTTGATAATGCCCGATGATATTTACATTAAACTCATAGAAGACAAAGAAAACCAAAAAATATTCACATTTTTAAAAATGAAACCAGCTGATTTTTGTAATTTAGCATAAAAAAGTTATTGAAATTATGAATTAATTATCGGAATAGTCACTGGTTAGTTTTTTCTGACTTGACAAAAAAATGAATTAATAGTTTCAGCTGTGGTTAATTCCTACTGTAACAACCAAAGGAAAAATGTTTTAACATTTCTGAAGATGCAGCTCAGGCAAAAGAAAACAATGTGCTTTCCTAAATTACAGTATAATTTTGTGAAATCCTGATATGACTGCATCATCCCCTTGCCTAAATCAGAGCAACAGTGGTGTAAAGATCACAGTTTTGTTTTCAGATAAACACTTTTGGTCACAAATGACCATCAGCTGGAGAATATTGCCAATACACAAGAGGGGCTGACGAGAATCCCGTTTTCATAAAACACATCTGGCCCCAATGAAGGTGGGAGCTACCATGGCACATACAAACGCCATCAAATGAGTACAATGACATGCTTCTTTTAACACCTCCTCCTCAATAAAGATCATTCATCAGGCAGAACCATCCCTCTAGAATGTGTGATTGGAAATCAGGAGACTTTAAATCCCCATCCCGGTCATTCCATCCACCTTCAACACACCACTGGTCTGGACGCTCAGAGATGAACCGCTGAACCAGATACCTCCATTCAGCTGGTGCCCTCCACCTTTTTAAAAAAAAATAATAATAAAGGTAAATAACAGCAAATGCATGAAAGCTAAAATCAGACAGCCACATCACAATTTCACTGAGGCAGTGAGGCATCCCAAACCTGCATCCAATTTAGAGAGATATGGAGCAGTAGAGAAGAGGGCCTCCATATACAATCCCAAAAAGGAAACAGATGCAGGATATATGTGTACAGTATGTGTGTGTATTAGATGTATACATGGGCTAAAAGAGGTGATAGTGTTAAAACATGAAGTGTACCCTAACCTGTGACACACATGGGGAATCCTGTAGAATCAGATGATGATTCCCTATCACAATGCCATTCGCTTATTGTCATTACATCGATGATGCCTGTAGCTGGCTATTCTCATGGAGAGGAGGAAAAGATTCACGTTAATGTCGCAAAGTCACCATAAGAGCCAGAATGGCATAATCTTGCAGTGTTCTGTGTGTTATAAATATGACTGATGGCAATAGCCAGTCTGTTGAATTACATTTACATATAGATTTACATTCCCATCAACATGTAATAATAGCAAATAGCACAGGCCTGAAGGTCCATACTAGTCACTTAGACATGCATGCACATACCCACTGTGCACACACACATATTCTGACATTTCATAGCCAATATTTAGGCCTTACTGAGAAGAGCAAAAACACCCAGCATCCATCAGGGTGACAGTAGTGAAAAACAGTGGGTGATTTGTCTGTAGAAAGAAATATTATGCTTCAAGAAGTAAAGCAGTCCAGAGAAATGAGGGCTGAATGGCATCAAGGGAGAAAAAAATAATTTACAATTAAAGTATAAATTTAATAATAATAAAAAAGATACTTAGAACTTAAAAACATAACATGACATTAAAAAAACCCTGCTCCTTTGAGGAAATAGAGAATGTTATAGGATTATAATTTTGATAAGGAATAAAACTAAAACTACATGTACAAGTACGCAGACGCAGTGTAAATGGAGGCATATAATTTTCCTCAAACAACACTAAATTAGAATTTTTGGTAAAAGAATTTGGTGGTGCTGGGGAGCAACTTTGCATAAGCTTAGTCGACTACACCACTCACAAAGACCGCCACAGTCATTGTACAACAGACAAAAAACACATACAACTGCAAAAGAAGAAATGGAAAAGAGAAGAGTTATATTTAGGCCAAGACAAAAAAAAAAACCCAAGAAATACTCAAATGTAATATAAAATGTAAAAAAAAACTTATGGGGAATGTTTGACAATGACATAAGATTTGACAAGCAGATCAACTCAGTCATAAAATCTAGTTTCTTTCATCTGAAGTTGTTAAGTAAAGTCAAGTCATTTTGTTCTTTTAATGATTTTGAGATTGCAATTCATGCTTTTATAACCTCTAGACTTGACTGTTGTAATTCATTATACCTTATTGTAAATCAGTTGTCTCTCACTCATCTTCAAATGGTCCAAAATGCTGCGGCTCGTCTTTTAACAGGTATCAGGAAATTTGACCATATAACCCCAGTACTGGACTCTCTCCACTGGCTTCCAGTCCATTTTAGAATTCATTTTAAGCTACTGATTTTTGTTTTTAAGGCTCTTTATAGTTTGGCACTGCCGCAGTTTGGCACCACCCTACCTTTGAGTTGGTGAGGTGGCACAAACCTACAAGATTGCTCAGATCATCAAGCCAGTTTAGTTTAGAGGTTCCCAGGGCCAGATACAAACGCTGAGGTGATCCCGCTTTTACTGTTGCAGCCCCTAAATTGTGGAATGGTTTACCTCTCAATGTTAGATCATCTACAGACTTGACAACTTTTAAATCATTGGTTAAAACATATTTATTAACATTGGCTTTTAATATATAGTATTGCCTGATGCTTCCTTCTTTTAACTGTTGATTCTGTGAAATTCGTGTGTTTATGTTCCTATGTTGTTTTATTCCTGTATTGATATTATTTATTTTAGTTCTTACCTTGCCCTTGTAAAGTACTTTGGTCAACCAGACTTTGTTTTTAAAGTGTTATATAAAAGATTTTAGATACAGAGAGATTATTTCTGTTTTCTGATTTAAAAAACATCTTTAGACAACAGGGGCCCCAAAAATTTCACGTGATGCTGTACAAGAAGACGTTAACCGCACGGGCAGCACGAAGTGAAACGTTACTGTCGGCCAACCCATTTTTCTCGGACAAACCCGGAAGTTGTTTGTCTGTGTGCCTGGAAGAAGGAGAGCAGCTCCGACACTTGTAACCTCTCTTGCTTGCTTGATAAAGGTGAGCTTCAGCTTGTTGGTATTTACCATTAGACATATACATGGTAGTTTCGCGAAGAACGACTTTGGTTCTACATATTTGCTTTCTTTCATGTGTGTTTTTCACTGCAATGCTTCATTGTTTACATTCACCGGTACTGCTTATAAACACGTGGACAGACTGGAGGAACACTTGCTAACCAGGGACTGTCAGTATGTGGAAATAAATTATAATACTCACTGCTCAGCGACAGTTTATTGAGTTTTCTATGTGTGTTTGGCCTGTAAAGTTTTAGTCATGTATCGATAGCTAACAGAGATAACTTGTACATACCTGCTAACGAGTTAGCATTTAGCTAGCCGTGGTTATCATCAGGCTAACTACATTTAGAGTGCATCCTTATAATGCTGAGATTTCTGCCTTCTGTGTGTCATTGTATAGAGGTCGGTGGTAGGTTGTGTGATTTCTACCTCACTCTGCCAGTTTACTTTGTGTTTGTTTTCCTGAACAACTCAATAACCTCTTCAAATCACAGAATTTATCACTCGTCCCGTGTGAGGAAGTGACATAAACACACTAACATTTAAACCTGACTATTGTGTAAACCCCTTGCCGCCCCTTTGTTTAGGAATATGCACATATAAATCCAACAAACCAAATTTAAATCTGCTTGAAAGGTCATTCTCAGCTGGTTTTTTCATGACAACTGAGGAAGTCAGTTGTGAAACTTGGGATGGAATTGTTTTGTCTAAATAAAGTGGCAAAGCTTTTATACAGGTTCCCTTGGCAAATCATCAAAACTCATGCAGCAAGGCCAAGGCTTGTGGGGCCATCCAACCCGTGAACTAAACACCAGTGATGATGTGATCTGATCTGATCTGATTTGATTCTGTTATAAACTACATACTGTACCTACAGCAAAGTTCAAAGTGTTTATTTTGTCATATGCACAGTTAGGAAACGTGTTTCCCTGTACAATGAAATTCTTACTTTCCTGTCCACAAAATACTAATGAAATATAAAGTAGATAACACAAAATCTAAGTCACTTTAAGCAGCAAATGCAGCAATATAATAAAAATATATAAGAATATAATAAGAGAATGTATGCTGCATAGGAGCAGCATGTGCAGCAGTCAACAGTCAGTGTGCAATTATGCATGTGCAAACTGAGAATGTAAACAGTACAGGTCGACAGTACGTGACATATTTCCTGGAAACGAACTCCTCAGCTGTTTAGGAGTCTGATGGCAGAGGGAAAGAAAGAGTTTTTCAGTCTAGTGGTCCTGCATTTCACACTTCTGAACCTCCGGCCAGAGGGCAGAGAAGTGAACAGTCCGTGCTGGGGGTGGGTGGGATCTTTGAGGATGGAGGCAGCTTTCCTACGCACCCTGCGGTGGTAAATGCTCTGCAGAGAGGGCAGTGGAGTCCTGGTGATCTTCTCCACAGCCTTTACTATTCTCTGCAGGTGCTTGCGGTCCATAGCAGTAGTGCTGCCATACCAGACAGTGATGCAGCTGGTCAAGATGCTCTCAGCGATGCAGCTGTAGAAGCTGCAAAGGATCCTAGGCGACATGCCAAACGTCCTCAGCCTCCTCAGGAAGTACAGCTGCCGTTGGGCCTTCTTGACCAGCTGTGTGTTGTTAGGTGTCCAAGTGAGGTCCTCACTGATGTGGACACCCAGGTATTTGAAGCTGGTCACCCTCTCCACTTCGAGCCCCCGGATGAACAGTGGCTGATGAGTTCTCCTCTCCTTCCTCATGTCCACTATCATCTCCTTCGTCTTGTCCGTGTTGAGGCTGAGATTATTATCCTTGCACCATGACACCAGACCGGCCACCTCCCTCCTGTAGGCTGCTTCGTCCCCGCCAGTGATGCGACCTATCACTGCGGTGTCGTCCACTCCATTGAGGTCTTCTCAAGTACTTGCAGCAATTATAACAAGAGGCACTTATAACTTTAGAAAAACTCCACATGACCTGCTCCTTCAGGGATACCAGGAGAGTATCATAGGAATGTAATCTTGATAAGGGATAAAGCAAAAATTAGATGTACAAGTACACAGAATCAGTGTAAGTAGAGGCATAGCATTTGCCAGAAGCACTGGGTGGTGGTAGGGAGCAACTATGTAAGTTTTGTAGACTACACCGCTCACAAAACTGGCACAGTCTTTGCACAACAGGCAAAAAAAACTGCAAAAGAAGAAATTGAAAAAAGTTGATACACATATAGGCATTATACATTGTAACAAGAGGAACTTGCATTGCCTTGTGTCTCATAATGATCTACTGTGCATGACAAAAGTATCAGCTTGTATACTCCGTATGGGCCACATATGAAGTTTATATGAAATTACTGTGATTAGTCTTGTGTTGTTCACAAGAATTTGACTGTGTAACAGAGAAGCAGATGCCATCTTGACAACGTAATGTCCAGTGACGTCTGGACAGTGTAACAATGAGCCAGAATGCATAAAACCAGGGCCCTGAAGCTGAAGCAGCTACAAGCAATTCAGTCAGTGTCTTATATGTCTATAATTTACACCTGTGCTTTTCCTAGTGGAACATGTCAAAATGTCTAAGATGAAAAAGTCCTGGAGCATGAAGATGTGAATTTTCCCTAACAGAAGCAACAAATCTAACAGGAGCGTCTGAGAGCCACAATGATATAGTGTCAAATACAGTATGTACACACCCACACATTCCTAAGCAAGGCTTTAATTAAGTAGATTAAGTCAAAGTGCTTGTGTTGTTGGACCATGACTCTGCTGGGACTTCAAGTACAGAACTTTACATTCCACCAATGTAAGACACAGTCAGGCATTTGTCAGGTCCAGGTCCCTGTGCACGGTTAAACTTCAGAGCTCTCTCTCTTACCAGCCCATGGGATCTTCTTTCTGTCCCCTTAATCCCCGATGGGCAGCTTGTGACTGTCTACCGTGGCGTTTCTGTGATGTGTGCGGTCTGGGAGCCAATCATCTCCAACTATCATGGCATAGACACGCAGGACTGGACAGAGCAATGGGCCAGTGCCCCTTATGTATCCAGTTTGTGTGTGTGTGTGTGTGTGTGTATACGAGTTAGAGAGATTGTGAAATGAGCAGCACAGTGTGTGTTTTACAGAGTGTAGTAAGTAGATACTCAATGTGGATCCAAGGTTATTTCATTTTAATTGTTAGTTGAAATCAGCACCTGAGAGGTGATAAACCTGGACCTAAGCTGTGTCTTAACGCAGCTGTTTTTAACACAGTTTAAAAAAGTCTCTCTCAGCCCTCATGGATTTCAGAACTGAAGTCTGTACCTTTTAATTGATGGTGGCCTGTGTCCACTTATTCTTCGGTGCTATGGACAGTCTTTTATCTATAGCACTGTCTTTTCAGGTATTCAGAACTGGGGCATTGGCTGCAACAGAACAGCAAACCCATTACTGAGAGAAATCCATTCTGTCTCTTTCATGACATCAGTGTTTGCTTATGTTTGTCTTCTGGGGAAGATTTTACTGTAAGATCTTATAAATATGATGCTATTTAGCAGCTGATTTTTAACAGTGTGGTAGTGCAGCTTCCTACCAGCACTTGAATGCATCACCTAGAAGTCAAAAAGGTCTGATTTCAGTTGCTTTACTATTCAATGAAAACACAGCTGAGATTAAAAGCTAACTAAAGTTTGCTGTGATGGATTACCTTTGTAAATATACTTGATGCAACTGGTCCTGATAATCTGGTAACCTGTAATGTGTGAAGTGCTGAAGATTAGTTCAGACCTTTTATTGGCCATCCAATAAACATCCAAGAGTTATTAAGTCTTTTAAGCTCAAATTTAATATATTATCATGTTCTTATACTTTGTTTTCATAAATTACATGGATTGTCATATCATAATGTATTCAATCCTGTGAGTTGATTACCATAACCCACACTTGTTTTCTTGTCTGTGTTTTTGATCCCAGCAGTCCGCTTCACTCACTGAGGTCAGCATCACCCCAGGTTTGTGTGCGTGAGTGTGTCTTGGTCAGGTGTGTCCATGTGAGTGTATCAAGGGTGTTTTAGGGTGATGTACTTTTCATATCAAAATCACGAGGAGTTGGAAGATGACCTCTACCAAGAGGATGCAGGAGAAAGTGAGGGGTCCGAGGCTAACAGCGAGTTGGAGTTCCAGCTTTACAGCCAACTCCACTATTCCTCTAATGCTGGGGAGTTGGAGGAGCAGGAGAGCAAAGGAGAGAAGGCTGAGGGCCAGAACAACCAGCAGCCAGAGGTGACTAAGAAGACTGCAGATGGTGATGGAGAAGTTGGACACACTGTGGAAAGAGAGCCTGTGTCACTGGATACAAGCAAGCTACGACAACACCTGAAGAAGAAGAAAGAGAAGCATGTTAAACAGAAGAAGGGGGAAAGTGTTTCTAAAGGCCAGAGGTTGTCATCATCACTTTTTGAGGAGGTCATCGTGATTGACTCTAGTCCCAATATCATTAGCATCTCTGAGGATGACACTGCTGAGGACAATGGGGTCTGTGCCACAAAGGGTCGAGGGTTACAGCAGCTGCAGACTTCCACCCCAGCACTACAGGTAGAGAATGAGAAGCTGTATGTGTTAATTGTAGCTGTAATTTACTGTAGCAGTTGTGCAATTAATTTCAAGTCACTGTAATCACTGAACTACAATCTAGAAAGACTACAATTTTATAAAGTACTGCATCCCACAAATCAGTAAAGACCAGGGATGCACCAGCCCCCCTCCCCTCCTTCAGCCATGCATTGCCAGCAATGAGTCCACATCGGCAGTAAGAGGGATAATGACAGAAGATAGGACTGATTAGTGATAGTGATCATTTTACATTTTTGAAGCTCCACTGTGTTTTAATATCAGCAATATGATTAATTTTATTTTATGGACTTATTTTGTTTCCAAGGAGACACTTTTGACACATAATAAGCATTTTAAGACTGTTACTGCTTTTGTACATGAAGTTATATATATGGATACATTTGAATCATTTGGCTGGGCGCACCCTTAGAGATAGGGTGAGGAGCTCGGTCACCCGGGAGGAGCTCAGAGTAGAACCGCTGCTCCTCCACATCGAGAGGAGCCAGCTGAGGTGGCTCGGGCATCTGTTTCGGATGCCTCCTGGGCGCCTTCCTAGGAAGGTGTTCCAGGCATGTCCCACCGGGAGGAGGCCCCGGGGAAGACCCAGGACACGCTGGAGGGACTATGTCTCTCGGCTGGCCTGGGAACGCCTCGGCATTCCCCCGGAGGAGCTGGAGGAAGTGTCTGGAGAGAGGGAGGTCTGGGCATCTTTGCTTAGACTGCTGCCCCCGCGACCCGGCCCCGGATAAGCGGAAGAAAATGGATGGATGGATGGCATTTGAATCGTTTACAGAAGAAATTTTTCTTGCCCAGCAATAACAATAACCAATAAGAACTGTACACAAAAGGCGTATTGATAAGAGTAGCAGTATTGATTAAATACCCATCCTTAGTGAAGACTAGCTCCTCTCTAGCTGTTGACTTTGATGGTAACTGGGGGATCATGAACCCTGTAATTACCAAAAACCCAAGAATGTTTCTCCTGTATTATCTTGGGTAATACAAACAGCAGCACCAGTAAGAGATGGACTGAACACCTGAACTGGACATTCAGTTACTCGGTGTCATTTTTATAAATAGTGCCTCACTCTTGCAATGCATGTTGTGGCTGCGCATAATATGGAGTGGATGGGAAAATACAGGATGGGTGAGATTCAGGACTGTTCCATTAGTGCACAGTTGTTTGTTGAGGGTTAGAAGTGCTGCATATTTACAGTATAGCACCATGTATTCATAACATTTTGATTTTAATGACTTTAATCTGTTATTTGAAGGACTTTTCTTGCACTTCTCCATTGTTAAGCACAAAACCTTGAGAAAAATCTGAAAAATGTCTCTCTGTTGTAATTACATAATTTTGTCCCTCCAGCTCAGCAAAGAAATGCTGTTCTCCAGAAACACATAAAGCGTTGGTCAGTTCAGAAAGAGGCGCATAATGGTGTAAGAGAAAACTTTGTATTGACATTTACAATTGTTGTTGTTGTTGTTGTTTTGTCATTAAGGGAAACCTCAAAAGGAAGAGGAGTTTTTGTGTGCCAGTGACTTTGGACTCCAGCAGCTCAGAATCAGAATCAGAATCAGAAGAGTCAGAGTCCAAAAGTGAGTCTGATTCTTATGATTCATCGGATTCAGATGGTCTGGAGAGCTGGATGATCCTGGGTCCAGCGAAGCAGGATGGAGACCAGTGCATCTCACTCAACCTGGAGGTGGGGCCTGACAGCATTGCAGGTTTGTCTTTGTTTATATTTGTGTACCGTTTGTGCTGGGTACGCTGTGCATTGTTCAGAGCTTGATGATAGGGTTTATGCATGTGAATGTGTACGTGACCAGGAGAACAGAAGCAGTGAGTAATTTTACATGGTCCAGCTAATTCAGAACACTTAACCAATACCTGCAGCACATTGATAAGGAGCAGGCACAGCCAATGGCTACCCTGTGAACAGTCTGTGTGCGTGCATGTTTGTATGTACATATGCACCTACTATGTCTGCATGTTTATGAATTTGTAAGCTCTTAGCATTGCTGGCGCTGTCTGCCCAGGTTCGCTCTTCTCAGACACATCTTTAAATACGTTTATGTGCATTGTGTATTGATATGTGCGTGCAGGCTTATGCGAGTGTGAATATTAGTTTATAAAATATTCCAGTTCTAATCAGCATGCATGTGTATATACATGTGCATCACAACAGTCATAA